AGAAGACAGAGAACAAAACTTTGGAACATTAGGATGGAATCAGAAAATCAGAGAGAGTGGTTTAAATAGGAATTAGGGAGTCATTAAAAATAGGGAGTCATTAAAAATGTTTGAGCCCTTTCTCTGCCACCATGGTGTGTGCGGTTGACTCCATTCTTCACCATGTCTTCCCATAAGACTTTCAGGATCAGGCTATTCCTAGCCAAGAAATAAAAGCAAATTCATCACATCCCCCAGTAGATTTAGTGGATTCAAATGAAAACTGGTGTTAAAATCAGGTACGACTTGGAGAGGAGACATTGGAGAAGAACCAAGCTGGGTCTGTGAGGAACTAACTGCACATGAGATGGCACAAATTTTTATGCTGTATAGGTCACTATCATTTTATCATATCAAGCCGAATATGTCACCACTGTCTAGATAGTTGAACATGTTTTATTGGAAAAATGTTTTTCTCTTTGTTTCTATGTTCTGCACTAGTAGACTGATTCAGTAATAATTATGTGAGACATTTTGTTTAAAAAATAAGTTTTTGAGTAAGCTGGTGATATTTGGGAAAGATTGTCTGAAATGGACAAAATCGATTAACTTAAGGTCTTGTGGTTAGTAAGTTTTTGTAATATGGCATTTGAATCTACTCTAACCTGTTCAGATTTCACAATATCAAAATCATAGATTGAATGAAGCATTAAAGAGATCTGAAGTTTAAAGTTTTGTTATGTAATATTTTTAATATTGAAAGTGACCCTCGTCGTCTTTTTTTTAACTTTGTTTTTCTGCTTGTCATTTAAAACAACTTTTATTGGATATAATTATCATATCATGCAAATCACCCCTTTAAAGTGTACAATTTAGTAATTGTATTCACAAGTTTGCATAACTATCACCACTACATTAATGTTTTAAAACATTTTCATCTGTCCTTAAACAAAACCCTATTCCCCTTAGCAGTCACATTCATTTTCCTCTGTCTTTGTCTCTACCCTCAAGCTCTTAAGCAACTAATAATCTATTATGTCTCTCTGGATTTGCTTATTCTAGATACTTCATGTAAATGGAATCACACACTATGTACCACAGTTATATTTACATTGTATTTTATGTTCATATGAAAATTATGGTTTGTAATTTTGATCCCAGGTCAAATCCTAATAAATACAATGTCTCCATTTATGTAGTAGATCCTGTCCCAGTGAAGTTGAATCGGAGAATAAGTAAAGTAAGGGTCACCTGCCTTCTTCTGAGTTACTGATTATGATTCTATACTTGATTTTCTATTTAGTGTATAGCCCAAAAGTTGAACCACAAGAGCAGTTATGTATTCAAACATTGCATATATTTAACATAATATTTGCCATGTAGTATAGTATTTTAATTAACCATAAGAACTTCTTTGTTTTTAGTATATTCAACAGAACATAAGAGCAGATTGCTCCAATATTGACAAAATTCTTGAACCACCTGAAGGCCAAGATGAAGGTGTATGGAAGTATGAACATTTAAGGTAAGTCCTTATGGTATATCAAAATAGTAATAGGGTTGTACATGGTGGCTCATGCCTGTAATCTCAGCACTTTGCAAGGCTGAGGCAGGAGGATTGCTTGGGTCAGGAGTTCTAGACCAACCTGAGCAACATAGTAAAATGTCGGTACAAAAAAATAGAAAAATTAACTGGATGTGGTTGCGTGCCTTTAGTCTCAACTGCTGGGGAGGCTGAGGTGGAAGGATTGCTTAAGCCCAGGAGTTTGAAGTTGCAGTGAGCTATGATGATGCCACTGCATTCTAGCCTGGGCAACAGAGTGAGACCCTGTCTAAAACAAAAAATAGTAATAGTACTTCTGTTAATACTAGTAAAAATTACCTTTAGTATTAATGATAATTATGATACCAGATTCTAAAGTTTTGTCTTTTCAGTGATAAGGTTCTCAGCTTTGTTCACTGGTTGTTACCAGATCAAGTTATGCTGCAAGGCACTTGTTTGAAAAGTGGTTTCAGAGCTGATAACTTGGACCTGCATGTGCACCTTTCTACATTTATGGATTTGTATCCTGTTATCTTTTTACATGGTTTTCTTTAATTGTATCTCTTAACCACTAATGTATTATTTCCATTTCCCCACTCATGCGTTACTTTACATGTCTTTATAGAGTATTACCTCTAGGTCCTAGTCTAGGCTTGGTATCTGATGAGTTACCTACGAACTATTGAGAATGTCCAGTCCTCCCTTTTGTAAATAGAGATTAATTGTAATCATGAAGTAAAGAGTTTTGGTGCTTTTTATAATACTCTTTGAAATAGAAAAAATTAGCCAGGAGTGGTGGTGTGTGCCTATAGCCCCAGTTATTTAGGAGGCTGAGGCAGGAGGATTGCTTGGGCCCAGGAGTTTGAGGATGCTGTGAACTAGGCTGACTCCATGGCACTTTAGCCCAGCAACGAAGCAGGACTCTGTCTCAAAAAAAAAAAAAAATCCTTTGAATGATAAAATTGATAACTTGTGAGTAAGTAGAGTTAACTTTAGAAGTAGCTATATCCTGAAGTTACTAGGTGTTACTTGATGTTATAAACTGTCCAGTACATACTGGAGCTAGGATGACAGATTAAATAATGAGAGTGTAGTATGAATATGTTTTCATTGAGGTTTATTACTTTTAAGTTGATTTTTAGGTAATAAGTGGAGTAGAAATATAACTTCCTCAATAAGACCATGTGTGGGGCCGGGCGCGGTGGCTCACGCCTGTAATCCTAGCTCTCTGGGAGGCCGAGGCAGGCGGATTGTTTGAGCTCAGGAGTTCGAAACCAGCCTGAGCAAGAGCGAGACCCTGTCTCTACTAAAAATAGAAAGAAATTTATTGGACAGCTAAAAATATATATAGAAAAAATTAGCTGGGCATGGTGGTGCATGCCTGTAGTCCCAGCTACTCGGGAAGCTGAGGCAGGAGGATCTCCTGAGCCCTGGAGTTTGAGGTTGCTGTGAGCTAGGCTGACGCCACGGCATTCTAGCCGGGGCAACACAGTGAGACTCTGTCTCAAAAAAAAAAAAAAAAAATGTTCTTTATGGCTGGTTTGTTTAAACTATGTGTTGTATTTCCCTTAATCTGCATTCGCTTTTAATCTGTAGTAATTATTTTTTACTTGATGCTGACTTATTGAGGATATTGGATTGAGCACATTCTGTAGAATTTTAGACCTTCAAATGGTCATTATATTGACAGACTTGTATGCTTGAAGACAAATCACTCTTTAGTTGCAAAATCAATTTCTGATGTTCTTTTATTTGAAAAAGGCTAAATTCTCTAAAATAAGAGTTTTTTGGTACCTAAGAGAAAAGTACTTATTTGGAAGATCAGTTTCATTCAGGCTGTTACATTTTTTGTGTTGATAAATTGAAGCAGTATTAAGATTGTATCAGTTTATATCTGGGAAGATCCGCATAGTAGTTTCATTGGTAATTCACCGAAGTTGGCTTCTTAGTATAGTGAATGATGTGATAATTGCAAGTAGGAAACTGAATCAAGAAGGCTGGTTTTGTTTTGGCATAGTAAAGATGCGTTATTCTTACTTTAGAGTGGAAATGACACCCAGTTTGTGATGTATTACAAGTCTTAAATATATTGTTATTCTCATATCCACTTTTTTCTTGATAAGTATTAAATATAAGATGGGATAATCATCAGCATTTGGACCTGTAAGTGAATTGCAACATTGCTTGCTGAAGTCCAGCTCTGTTGAATTGGCCATATGTCAAAGGAGGATGATAGTAGGTTTTCTAAATGGTGGTTACATGGAATAGGGTTACTATAAACGTACAAACAAAAGAAAAACTTGAAAGGATACTTTCTGAACTCTTTTGGAATAACTGTGCCTAGTTAGGAAACCATAGGAACGGACAGACTAGAAGCTAAAACAAATTGCTCGCATTAATTAAAAGCATTGAGCAGATTCTGAAGTGGAAGAGGCAGGATACTTAGCACTAGTGATAATTTATCCACTGTTCTCGAGAATTAAAGAGAGGCTTTGCAGCAGGTACAGTTAATTATACAAATAGTAATTGTAGGGGACAAAGATTATAACTCGTTATTATCTATAAGCCCATCCAGTCACATGCAGATTGTGATTCACTTGCAGTAGCATTCTGATTATGTATGTATTTGGCAAAATGTAATTTATAAAAGTTTGTGGACACATTACATGCTACTTTGCAACCTGGTATATTTTGCCAACTTTTCGCTGTTATAACTGGTACAAAGTAGGAATAGTTACCTGAGAATTAATTGGGGAAAGGAGAAGGAGAGGCAGCTGAAACAAGGCAAAACTTCACCCACCTCCCTAAAAAAAAAATCCAGAAGCCAATTAAAGGTCTGAAGCAATGCTGTCTGATATGGTAACCATGAGCCACATGTGGCTGTGGAGCATTTGAAATATGCTGTAAGTGCGACATACTGGATATCAAAGACTTACTACAAAAAGACAATATGAAATATCTCACTGAGGGACAACTGGATATCTACATACAAAAGAATGAAGTTGGACCTCTACCTCACACAAAGCACAAAAATACACTCAAAATAGATCAAAGACTTAAATGTAAGAGCTAAAATTTTAAAATTCTTGGAAAAAGCATAGCTGTAAATTTTCATGACCTGGGAATAGGCAATGATTTGTTAGATATGACAGCAAAAAGTCAAGCAATGGAAGAAAATACAGGTAAATTGGATTTCATCAAAATTAAAAATTTTTGTGCTTCTCAAAGAACACTGTCAAGAAAGTAAAGTGCATTTCTACCTGAAATCATTAAAAAAAGAAAGAAAGAAAGAAAGAAAAGTGCAAAGACAACCTACAGAACGGGAGACAATGTTTTTGGAAGTACTATTTCTGATAAGGGCCTGGTATCCAGAAATATATAAACAATTATCACAGCTCAACAACCGAAAGACAAATAACTCAATTTAGAAATGAGCAAAGGATTTGAATAGACATTTTGCCAAAGATGACACAGAAATGACCAATAAACACATGAAAAGATTCTATCTTATTAGGTAAATGCAGATCAAAACCACAAGGAGAATTGGTCCAGGGTTGTGGATTATCATTAAGCTGATTAACATTGTCTCCTCCACAACTGCGCTTGATTAGAAAAAGAAAAAGGAAGAAAAAACCACAATGAGAACGGATAAACGAAATGTGGTATAGACATACGATGAAATATTATATAGCCATGAAAGGAAATGAAGTTCTGAAACATGTTACAACATGGATGAACCTTTGAAATCTAGTATGTATTATGCTGAGTGAAATAAGCCAGACACAAAAGATACCATATGATTCCACTTATATGAAACATCTAGAGTGAGTAAATTCATAAGAGACAGTAAGTAGTTAGAGGTTGCTAAGAGGTGAGGGGTGTAGGGAATTAGTGCTTATTGGTTATAGAGCTTCTGTTTGAGAATTGGAAACTGGTGATGGTTGCACAATAGTGTGAATATAATTAATGCCACTGAACTCTGCATTTAAAATGGCAAATTTTATGTTATATATATTTTACCACAGTTTTTAAAAATGTTTAGAACATTAATTGCCATGTGAGTTGTAGTTAACTCACACTAGTTTTGAGCCCGGGGCCTCGTGAAGCAAAACCTGGGCAAAACCCTGCAGTTGGTTTGTGAAAATCTTACTCGTTGATGTTCTTATTGTTATAATTAATATTGACAATTTAATTCTAAAAACGTGGGTTAAACGAATAGAAGTCAGTAACAAATTTTTCATTAAATTAGAATGGATCATTTTGTTTTCAGAGTCTTTATTCTATTTTCGTAATAAAACACTGTGGCCCCAAGGAATTTCTTTTTTCTAGTGGGGCAATGTGTTAAATAAAACCTGCAAACCCCACAATGGCATATGTACTTAACACTCACTATAATGGTTAAAATATAAAAGAGAGACCAATAACAGGTATTGACCAGGATGTGGAGAATTAGAACCCTCTTACCATGCTGATGGGATTGTAAATTGCTGTGGCTACTTGGGAAGACAGTTTGGAAGTTCCTTAAAATGATAAGCAAAGAGTCACCATATGACCTAGCAATTCCACTCCTTGATGTATACCCCAAAATGAAAACACGTCTGCACAAAGACTTGCACATGAATATTCACAGTCACATTATTTATTATAGGCAAAACATGGAAACAATTAAATGTCCATCAACTGACGAATGGATAAACAAAATGTGTTACAATCATCCCTCAGTATCCTCAGGATACTGGTTCCAGGACCCCCATAAATACAGAAATCCACTGATGCTAAAGTCCCTTATATAAAATGGTGTAATATTTGCATATAACCTATGC